CACACACACACACACACACACACACACACACACACACACACACACACACACACATGCAGTATCACAGGTTTCTAACAGCATATGTTTACAGTGCAATGAAAACAAAGTGTGTCGAGGGTTGGCTTCATCTATCCTCATTGGCTCTCTGCTGTCACCAATCTGGGATTTCCACCAATAAGGAAGAGGAGAGGTCAGGGGGCACGGCAAAGTTGCAGGTGAGGTAAAGCGTAGTGAGAGCTGATAAAAAGAAAAGAGGGAGGGTCTAATGTCCCTCTCTCTTTGAGGAGGTGCTGGTCTCTCGTCGCACCCCTTCCTCCTCCTGGCCCCTCCCCCCCATGGAGGAGGAGATAGACGGCGAGGAGGCGGGAGCCGCAGAGGAGGAAGAGCTGTGGAGAGGCAACGGCGGGTTGACGTGCAGCTCCACCGGCGTCAACATTATTTCCACCTCCCCCCGCTCCTCGTGTAGCATGGGCATGGGAAGGGGAGGGGGAAGGTGGGCTGCAGGGAGAGGAGCGAGGGCACTGCTGTTGTTATTGCTTGGTCTTGGAGCTTTCTGGATCACCTCCACCATCGGTGTACGTCCTGATGCTGCCAGCTCCCAGCTAGGGTTCCCTGGAGTCTGGAGCAGCAGCAGCGGTCGACTGTGGCGTTCTGGCTCAGACACCCCACCCGGCTGACACTGTACCACCACGCCACGGTGCTCTGACACCGCCGGCAGCTGACTCACAACAAGGCCAGGCTGATCCTGGATCACCAGCCCTAATACTGGCTGCGAGGAAGAAGAGGAAGAGCATGCTTTCTGGATGACGCCACCGGTCAGGGAGGTGATGATAGGAGGGTGGGAGGGAGGGGCAGAGGGTGGGGGCTGAGGAGGAAGAGCAGCAGAAGTTGGAGGAGGAAGAGCAAGCAGCGTGTCCTCAGGCCGAGGTTTTCTTGGTCGGCCACGTTTCCGTTTCACTGGATGAGCGTTGGCAGCAGAGCCACCACAGACGCCTGATGCACCAGCTGACATCACCACCTCCAGGGGGCGCTTGGTGACATTCCCTCGAGCTTTCTGGACCACAGAGGTTGGGGCTGCTAGGGGGTTCTGTGGAGGAAGTGGAGGTGTTGGGGGTGGGGCGACCTTCTCTCTTTCATAGGACAGGCAGCCCTGAGGCAAGATCATCACCGGAACAGGGCCACCTGTTGCCATGGCAATGACCTTAACTCCACCACCGCTGGCAGCAGCGGCAGCAGCCGGGCCTCCAGGTCCAGATGCTCCTCCAACTCCCGAGGCGTCTTTTGGCGCCAGAGAGGGCGGAGACGAGCGGACAGAGAGCTGGGTTTTATCAGGGATTGAGCTACGGGGGAGGATTCTGGGTAACTGCTTCATGAACGCCTCCACCTGCAAAATCAATCAATCAGTTAACTTCATCTATTGATTGTTTATTGATCAATAATGAAAAGACAAATGGTCGGACAGAGGTGCAGGTACAAGGAGGTGTTAACTTACCGCAGGGCGCAGACAGGAAGAGGAGGAGGAAGAAGGAGGAGGCGGAGTGTCCAGGGAGGAGGGCTTGGTGGTGGCTGATTTGTCTCCAGACGGCAGCTTCAGTGAGGACAATTCTCCAGGCTCCTTCTGCATTCAGACAGGAAGTGGTGAGCAGCAGAGACAACGACTGAACAGTGACTAACCCGAAACACGTGTGAGCACCTTCTGATCTGCAACTCCGTCTGACTCAGCTTTAGAAACAACCAGAGCTTTCTTGATGACCTTATGTGGTTTGGCTGGACCTCCTGCGGACGGACAGATACAGGAGGCAATCAGGACAGATGGACAACCTGGAAACATGAGACGTGGACTCCAACTGACCTGCGAGCGCTGCGGAGGTGACCAACTCCGCCTGGCTGCAGCGAGGGTTTACAATGTGCTCCTGGATCAGATAACGAGCGACCTCCACCACTGTGTCGAAGGAACGCTTCAGGATCTTCTGCGCCCAATCACAGATCAGCTCACATGCAGCCTCTGTCACTTCCTGTTTGTAGGTCTGAACGAGCTCCGTCAGCTCCGCCTGCAGACGAACAGGAAGGAGTCAGCTGAAACTCTAACGAAAACTATTCTCATATCAAAACATCATTACAACAGCAAGGATTGTGCAACTCGCCCATACTCCAACAGGTGGCACTGTTACTATAACTGAATATTGTTTGGGGAACAGTGTGTGTGTGTGTGTGTGTGTACCGGGTCATTCTTCAGATCCAGGTTTGGCAGCAAAGGCATGTTGAGCACAGTCTTCCTCCTGATGCCGCTGTAACAGTATGTATGAGCCAGGCAGGTCAGGGAATTCAACCAGCAACCCTCACAAAGTCTGACCTCATCACAGTTAACTGACTGTTTTAATGCTGGGTCACAATCACACTGAAGCTTCTCAACCTGCCCATTAAATATCCTCACTGTGACATCACTGATTATCTGACATCACTGTGACATCACTGTGCATCTGACATCACTGTGATATCACTGTGAGTCTGACATCACTGTGCGTCTGTGATTTCAGTGTGACATCACTGTATGTCTGTGACATCACTGTGCATCTGTGACATCACTGTATGTCTGTGACATC